CTTTTAGACCCTAATATCGAGCTTCCAACAATTAGCGCTACCGAGGTTGATGACGTTTTTAGCAGCTTGATATCGTCGTCACTAGCGAAAAATGTTTGGGGAGAAAGTAAGCTCGCAAGACATCTCTCCGACATTCATGGATCGAATGATTCCAATCTTCTTGTTACACCTACGATTCTAAATCGTGTTGAGGAACAACTTGTCCAGCCAAATTGCAGCATGCTAAGCTCTCAATCCCTAATTATATCTCATTCTCATAATAAGAATGATTTGGGAGATGCTAGAGAATCGTCTAATAATTCTAATCCGGGTCATGATGATAATGTTTGCCTAAATAACAGTTCCAATGGCCTCCCCCACGAGGCTCTCTCCTGTTGTTCATTTCAAGTAAATGCTGCACAACCACCATTTATAATGAAAACATATATTGGCTCAAAAGGTGGTGCCGGAGAATATACTACTAGTAATGCGACTCATCTCATGATTCTACCCGATGACTCCACTGGAGCCACTGATGCCATTTCTTCTGAACCGGTACGAAAGTTTTTATAGTTTTATTTGTGGAATTAGACCATACTTGCTATTTAGCTCTAGATTATTTAATATTTGATTTGATTTGATATCCAACTGTTCTGCTTTTCCTTAGTCCAATAGTTTTGAGAATCATCTGACTTCAGGCAATACTGGACCAAAGACTGCCCCTGATTTTTCCTCCGGACACGAGTTAGATACACACACATCCTCAAACTGTATGCATTCAAAAATGAGTCCGGCATCAGAGGCACGTATAGAAATCGAGGAATTACTCCGCACTCCTCGTTCAGGTGATGGTCAAATCGGACACTCTTCCACATATGAATATGCCTCGGTCTCTCGACCAAAAACTTCGCTCTCACCCCCTGCAAACGGAATGGATTCTTTCTCTCCCCAAAGGAAAGGATGTGCAATTCCGTCGTACTTTTACCTTCCGCCTACTCTGCATCCATTGAATCTTCACCTCCATCA